ATTATGTAAAAATCCATGGTAATTTAAGATTCTTCTTTTTGGATTTCGTTTTTTTTCCCCCTAGCAGATTTTGATATACAGTATGACACAATAGCAAAATGTGTTCAGTCAACTGACAAAACCTTTTTTCAAAAACTTCAATGACGGACGACATTATTTCACGACCGTTGTCTCTTCAATCGTTTTTTTTTTGCGAGCACTTAGTTGGCGCGCCATTTTCGTGTTTGATAAGCACCCAGCAACCAATTTCTAAACCCTTATCAAAATTACTGAACAAATCGATTTTTAACGTCACTCGCCATTAGTATATATTTACTGTAGTGTGTACATATGTAAATATGTATCAGAAAAAAAGTTCGCCGTACACCCCTGAGTGTAAAATATTTTTGCAAGGCAAGTTCGAAAATAAACATTTTTTATAGGCTGAACGTAGATGCGCTATTTTACGTTTTGCATCATCTTCGGCATTTAGAGTCGGATATTAAGGTATGATATATCGATGTTCTTGTCTCGGATATACAATAAATTTGTTCCCAAATTGATGATTACAAATTTTCAGCGATAACGTAAAGATAAATAGACACACAATGGCTAGGGGTATCGCCTGTACGTATTCTTTCAGATAGCTATACAGTGAACGCTCACATAAGCGGACAGCGATGGTCACCTACTTTTTGTCCGCTTATGGGAATTTCGTAAAAAACAAAATTAATACTCAATTATAAAAAATTGCAATTGTGGGTTTTTAAATTAAAATAATATTTATTTCTTAACAGAGAGGAACAGCATGAATTAAGAATAAATTCAAATTTATAGCGTTTTCTTTCCTACCGATAAATCTCATTGCCCCCTTCGCTCAAGTAGCAAAAAGAGGGAAACGAAAAGCAACACTTTTTCTAGAATATAAAATATCTTTGAATATAGACTATGTTCTTGTGTACAAATATAAATGTAGAAGCGCAAGAGTCAACATCTGAGTGAAAAAAAAATAAAAAAAATTGTCCGCTTATTAGAGCTTATGGGAGATTTCTTTTCATAACTGGACATTTTTGAGTGTCCGCGTCTGTTTATAGAAAAGTCCGTGTATGGGAGAGCATTTTGTACGAAAAAAAACCAAAAATTGTTCCTGCCCAAGAATGTATCCGCTTATACGAGATATCTGCTTATGTTCCTAGAGCATCTAAAAGCATTTTGAATCAAAAAGAAAATTTGGT